ATCATTACTCCATTCTTTAGTGTCACAAGATCCTTCAGAAATCATTCTAATATGCTGAATTGGTGCTCAAAAAACATTTCTTCTTATTATAAATGTTGAAAACAGTTGTGCTGCTTTTTAAGATTCTTTGATTAACAAAGTTCAAAAGAGCAGCATTTATTTGCAATACATTTTTTGTAACATAAAATGTCTTTACTGTAACTTTTGATCAATTCAATGAATTCTTGATCAATAAAAGTATTAATTTCTTTAAAAAACAAAATCACAATTACCTCAAATGTTTTGAACAGTAGTGTACTGCATGTAAAGGGTGTTAAATTAAATATTTTTTCATGATTAAGACTAAACACACAAAACAATTTTCTATAATTACTAATCAGGCACCAAATAGACTACAGTATTATTATTTAATATATGAACCTGCAATCTAACGAATGCATTCTGAGCATAAACAGGCTTTATCATCCACATGTTCCTGATATTCACCTGGTCTGCACAATAACTTTCTAAAGAGGAAGTTTGGAATATTTACAGCCTTATTCTAAACAGAGAGGCACAAAGCTGTGATGCAGAAGTCGTGCCATCCAACATCCGCCTCTGATGTGGACAAATGTAATTAAGTGTTATCAAAATGTCCACTTCACACTAAACATTAACCTCACTGAGTGCAACTGAACCCCTAGTGCAGCTGACCCCAGCTGCGACACAACTCAAGAAGGATTCAAATGAATGACTGCTGTTCTCATAGTCTTTCACACTCACTGCTTGAAGCAGCACATAGTGCCATGTTTGGCCTGTTTTACATTGCATGCATTTGCAGCGGCACCCATATTAACAGGTTACTGGATTCACAATGTCTGCATTTAAGCAAAGCACATAGGTGAAATAGAGAAGAGAATTTCCTTCATGGATTAAAAAATAAAATAATAATAAATATAATACATTTTATCTCATACTTTTTTCTCAAAATGAAGAATTGCCAGATATAAACTCAGAGATAAAGTTGCAATTACATTTTTTTTTAATTCTGTGACGAAAACAATGTTATGTTAGTATCACTGAGATACTTTTATAGTTTTTATTAATATTTTGAATTAGTTTTCATTTTTATATTTTCCAATGTTATTGTGCATTGTTGTCATTTTTATGTTTTATATAGTTATTACTGTTTTCAGTTTTAATTTGAGTTATTTTAGTATATCATGTTAAACTAAATGAACATTTTAAATATTGCCTTGGCAAGTAGCTGAATTTTTTTTTAATATATTTTATTTAAGTTAGAATTTATATTATTTCAAGTAAAATAACCCATGGCGGAAACAAGCTTGACTTTTTCTCACAATTGCGTTAGTTTATATCTGGCAATTCTGAGTTTACACCTTACATCTTGAAATTCTGACTTTTTTTCTCAGATTTGTGTAAAACAACGTCAGAATTGTGAGATATAAATTCAGAATTGCACCAAAAAAAGAAATAATTATGAGATAGTCACAATCACCTTTTTAAATTTTTTATTCCATTGTGGAAATAAGCTTCCATAGAAATGGCTTCACTAAAGAGTCAGATAAAGGCTATTGTATATTCATATTATAGCAGACACCGTAGTCATCTACAGCAGCCCCATGTACAGACTCACTATTACATCATGCATTACTTCATACTGACTCAATCATGACTCAAAAACGTTTGAGGCATTGACTTAAAGGGGTCATATGATGCGATTTCAATTTTAATTTTAAATGTTACAAGCTCTTGGTGCATAAAGAAGATCTGTAAAGTTGCAAAGACTAAAGTCTCAAATCCAAAGAGATATTCTTTATAAAATTTAAGAGTCAGCCACACCTACCTAAAACGGCTCATTCTAACACACCCCCACATGTCTACGTCACGATCTGGGAAGATTTGCATAACGCCGCCCAAATGTTCACGCAAAGAAAGAAGGCATAACTTTTATTCTCGCTGTAGTACACACAGTGCTGCCATGTCGTGAAGGCACTGTGTGTTTCCTTATGAAAGCGAAACTACTTTGTTTGGCCTTCCAAAAGAGGACGATATCTGTTTCATCATGCCTAATTTTTTTTATATCTAAAGAGTTTTTATATTTTATTTTTTTTATATTTAAAGCGAGTTTTTTGGGCAGTGTAGAGTAGGGCTTGTTGTTTGTCATTTCTCCGAACACAAATGCAGACATGGTTTTATGTTTACGCGGCGCGATGCAACGCAACGCGTAAAAAGACAGTATAAGTCATTATAATCCATAATTATGTCCCCACTGGATGCAACGAATGCCTCGTTTATAATGGGTTTTCATGTTTCTGAATCATCGCTCCGGCCGGACAGGGCATCATCACAGTATGGTAAGGGGCGTAACATCTCCGTCACACGCTTGAGGTATTCGGCCAATCATAACGCACTGGATAGCTGGCCAATCACAGCACACCTTGCTTTTCAGACTTCAGAAAGGCGGTGCATAGAGGAGAAACAATAATGTACAGTATGTGGAAAATAATGTGCTTTTTAAACCTTAAACCGCATAAACATTTCATTACACCAAATACACAAAATAATGTTCTTTTTAGCAACATCATATGACCCCTTTAATGTTTTATAGTGCTTAACGTTTTGGTTTCCAAATTCTTATCAATAAATGTTAATGTTTAGTGCATGACATGCTAGGCAATAAATCAAGCCACCCTTTGAGCTTTTGTATTCTTGGGATCACATATGGTGAGATATCACTGTTTATACAGAGAAATAAAATCATGAGTGTATGTGTGTGTTCACCACAATATATGTCACAGGTGAATAAACAGTTCACTCATGCGCAGCAGTGTAAACCATCTGCTAGGAAACACAATCCAGACAACACAAAGGTGAAATGTGACCAATACTAAATTCTTAATACAATTAAAAATGATATTCTTCTTCCTGGCACTATTCAGATTTTGTTGTATTTTCTTTAATAACTTAATTAAGAATGAATTATGAATTTCTTTTAGCAGCACACTAGCAAACAGATGGCCTAAAAACTAACAGACATGAACCAAAAGCCACAAAACAGTGGCTTTCTACATAATAATTTACAAACAACAAAAAACTGCTAGTATGTGTTATTCTATCTACCATTTCCTTAAAGAGTCATAGCTTTAAATTACAAAACTTTTTTTCAAATTACTATAGTTTCCTAATCTCACCAGAGGCAACGGTTTTGACTTTCACACCCCATAAAAATATTTCCTGCAAATCTCTGAATGTCCAAAAGGCCCCTTTGAAACCTGATGACAGACTTTCTTCAAAGCACATGACCTAATATGACAATATATTTCCCCTCTATTCAGTTATGGTCTCTGCACAAGCGGACCGCAACAAAGGATTAAGACATCACATTCAAAGCGTCAAATTTTAACCTATTGTCTGCTGTGAATAAAGCGTGACCGTAACTTGACTCTGTAGAGGTTACATGATCCCAGCAGTATTTTCACAGCACTGTACAAAACATACTAAAATATATACAGTCATGTAGTTAATTACTTTGAGATTATACAGAAGCTATTATTCAAATGAAATGTTTAAATTCATTACACTATTAGGCTCCAAGCAAATATTTTTTTTGTTAGGACGAAATGCGAACTAATTGGTTCTCTCTCTCTTTCTCTCTCTCTCTCTCTGTTTAGAAGAAGTCTGTTATTATTGATGTTAGTAATGGAACTTAACACAGGATGCTCAAAACTTACTTAATGAAAAACAAGCACAGAGGTCAGAAAGCGAATAAACAGTTTACTATCTTGAACAATGCATATGCATTTACATAACGGAGGGAACTGGAAAATTGATCTGTGTCACGTATACGAGGATTTAAGGGGACTGAACAGGACAGGCATGCACTGGGCTTCAAAGAATGGCAATTACACTTTGGCCACGAAAAAATCCACAAGCTGGCGCACAACATGTATTCAAAGAACTAATGGTTCTTGACGGAACTATTCCATCCAATTAGAGCCAGGGTTTTCATTCAGGGGTCTGTGGACCCCTGGGGGTCCCTGAAAGTACTTCAGGGGGTCCATGGAGAAAATAAGCATGTTGTAATGTATTAATGTTAGCAAATTTTCTTGATAAATGTTTAAATGCGTTACCTTTTTCATATTAGCAATTGCGGGACCTTGCATTGGTGCCATTTTTTGGTCTGGATCCTTTAGGTTATTCTAAAATTCATTAAGAAATGCAATTCATGTCTAAAATACTTTTTAAAAATCTCAACTGTCATAATTATGTTTTCACTTTCTGAGTTAATGCCATTTTAATAGCTTTTGTGGGGCTTATTTGTTTATTTACATTTTGTTTTAAAATATTAATATTTGAAAAATGTTTGGCTGCCAAATCAAAGTGAGTGTGGTGTAACCCACAAGAAAAATAAATAAATAAACAAACAATAACAGTCAACCAATACCACGTTTTTAAAAACCCTTAAACAATTAGGTTGGTACACTTGTATTCAAGGTGCGAGTAGGTTTGAACGTTTCACTACGGATACTAAATTTGCACTAGGTTACACCTTTTGACATTTTTGCAGTCATTAAATTAAAATATTTTGAAAAGGAAACATTCTTGTATGAAATGAGCATGAATAACAAGATTACATTGGGAACTTTCTTTGAGCTTGTGTTTAAAACTAGATTTTAAAAATATTTCTCATTTTTTGTCGTCTGGGATATTTGCGACTGAGTCAAAACTGGGGGTCCACTTGTTGCTTATTGTCGAATGCCATTTGAAATGGCTTAAAAGCAACATAACGGGACAGCATGCTCCTCCACCCCGTTTTAACACATTTCTACTTGCCTACTGCTTTTAGGAAATAAATCTTTCTGTAATATACTGTAAAAAGTAGGCTACTGTATTGTAATTATATCTTTACTTTAGGAGTATATTCGCAATTCAGTGGTTAATGCACAATCACCAATTATTTAAACCACAAACAGGAAAAAGTTATTCATCAGACGAACCTTGCGCTGGTACAGTCGTTGTACAACGCTTCAAAATCCTTTCTGGAAATGAGTTTGCAGCGGTTCACGCCGGGCTGGATAGCACCGAGTCCGCGCAATACGCGCACCTGCTCCACGGTGCACACCACCGGGTTTATATCCAAACGCTTGAGTTTCGTGTACACGGTGTGCAGTCCGCCGACAAGGTGCTTCAAGAAAAGGTCGAAGACTTGCGGGAGACAAATAAGCTCGCGTCCGTCAACGTTGAAAGAAGCCACTTTCACCCCGTGCACCTCCACGATGTTGCATTCGTTTGTCGCTGCGCCGCTCTGAAGCGTCGCGTTCAGTGAGTTGCTCAGTCGCGGAGAGTCCGCCGGACTCGAGAAGAACGGGTCGGTTCTGAAGAGTTTCGTGGACACCGCAGAAGTCCCAGAGTGAACCGGGAGAGTCGCAGGAACGGCCATAGTGGCCATTACAATTATTATTATTATTATTTTATTATGCTCTTTTAGGTCGTCTGCTTTCTCATCACTCTCCCTTATATGCCTTCCTCTTTTGCACTGCGTCCACAGAGCAAAACTGGCGGTACCGAGCCGCGCGCCTCTCTTTACCCGTGTGAAAATTCAGATAAAGGGAGTGCTCGGTCCGGTTAACTCCGCCTCTCGCTGGAAGAATGATGCTCCATTTTGCCAAACACATGTGCTCCAATTTATGGGTAAAGACTTCACTGGAGGTCGAAAAATTACAGCCCTCCTCCTCTATTGAGTCCAGCTTCAAGCGGTTATGTTAAATCCCAGATCTATCCATCTGACCTTCCATCCGTCAATCTCAAAATTATTATAAACATTTTAAATCATTTTTCCCACACATACATAATTATTAATAGGCCGTATTTATTTGCAGTAATTGCAAATAGCTAACTTTATTGGCAAAGGCTATTTGCACTGACTCCGCCCAGTTTGCTCAGACAATTTACCACAGAACAAATAGCATATTACTTCTGTTCACATTTTGTGTGAATAGCTTCTTTCACTATTTGCACTTAGAAAAGTATAAACAGAGAAGCTATTCGTTACTATTTATACACATGGTCAAAACATCACTATTTACACTAAAAATCTACATGGAATATTTTATATAGCCTATTGAATATATAACCTATATATGTGTGTGTGTGTGTGTGTGTGTGTGTGTGTGTGTAAATGTCACACCACAGGGCCATGTCAGTGCAGTTATTTTAGTTTTATTTATATACTGTTCTATTATTCATTAATATTTTGAATTAGCTTTTTATTTTTTATATTTTGTTTTTATTTTAATTTTAGTAATTTTATGTACTTCATTTTAGTTTTTTAATATTTCTAAGAAATTTCCACTCACATGTTTCACTGTACCCTACTGTGTAATACACTCTTGTTTATGCAGACAGTGGTTCTATGTCAAGAAAATAAAGTGTGAAATAAAAAGCATGATATTTAGGCAATAGAAGAATCAGCTTTGTCTTTTATAGGTCAAGCTAAGTCAGGTACTCAAGCGTTTGAATGCCATCTGTTCAGCATCATTGGGAAAAACATGCTCACACATCTGGATGTGTCTGTGGAAATACTTCTGTGCACCCCTCTCCTGAGACTCACAAGAAATCCTTTGAGAAAAATGCCATAAAAATATCCCACATGTCCCTTTAACCACATTTGTGTTCCCATCAGACATGCCATCTCTTTATTCACATTAATAAAGTAGCTTTGCAAAGTTTCTTTTAAGCCATTCTGTAATAGTACATGAGAGTTCATCATTTACATACCCTCATGTTGTTTTAAACCTGTATCACTCGCTTCTGTGAAACCTTTTTTGTCCATACAATGAAAGTCAATGTTGTTTGGACTCTTTCTGTGGGGGAAAAAATGCATACAGGTTGGAATGACTTGAGAGTGAGTAAATGATGACAGAAAATTAATTTTGGTTGAACTATCCCTTTAAATCTATTTTCCTGGGCGTCATTATGAGAGACAGCTTTATTGTTGTAGAATCTGTAGCAGATTTAATTGTATGATAATAGGACATACTATAGAGCTTTCAGGCTATTTATTTTCAGTTTGTTTTTGTAGCTTAGAGATTTGAAAGCTTTGTACAACTGACTGAGACGGCACAGGTGAAAAGTAGGTTTTTTTGAGGAAGAGTGAGTCATGAAACCGTTATAAAACAGTATGCTGGCAATTCTGATTTAGATGCATGTTCTACAATGTAACAACATTATGAACATTAGAACTCATTTTGGATATCGAGAAGCACAATTACACATGGTAGACCAAAGTCAATGTGTGAGGGATAGTGATAAAGTGTCAAGAAGATGTGGATGACCTTAATGACACATTGACCTGAATTTGCATTTCAGTGTGAAATGTAATTATGAACAGTACGAATGAGGCTTTCTGGGAAACAAGGCTGGAGTTTATCCATTCAAATCCAATTTAAAGGAGAGCGTGTATAACTAGACTTAGGCTGACATGCCTCTCTTTAAATGGTTAATGGACAGTAAATTAATGGTGCGAGAGCTGTAGAAACACACTGAACACTTAATAATTTAGAAGGGAAGTTGAAAAGTGAGGGGTATTAATATAAGAATAATATGACCCAAAAAAGTGATAAAAGTTTATATTTGAAATAATGTGGTACATTACTGCTGTCTAAAACATTTTTATTTTGAGTTATGTGACATTACAATGAAATTCAATACAATTTCCTGTATGATACACGGGGCAACTTTTTGAGCAATGTTGCTGGGCAATGTTGCCGTCAGCGGGCAACCACGTGAGACACAAGGCCCACGACCGATCTGAAGTATTAGGATAGAAGAGTACTAAGATAGAATTTTTTGCCCATTGTCAATGGGAGCGTGCCTTCACCTTATGTGATTAACACTCATTTAAAGGAACAGTTCACCCAAAAAAAGAAAATTTGCTGAAATTGAACTCATCCTCGGACCATCCAAGATGTAGATTAATTTGTTTCTTCATCGGAACAGATTTACATCACTTGCACACATTGCACACAGTGAATGGGTGCTGTCCAGTGAAAACATCGTCTCGTCTGAATCAGGAGAAAAATACTCACAAATCAAGCAGTTTAACAAGCACGGTTTGAATTTAAAATGCCTGGGATGGATTTTTTTTCTTACAAACACCCAGATTTTCACTTAAAGGAACACTCCACTATTTTTGAAAATAGGCTCATTTTCCAACTCCCCTAGAGTTAAACAGTTGAGTTTTACCGTTTTCGAATCCATTCAGCCGATCTCTGGGTCTGGCGGTAGCGCTTTTAGCTGTAGCTTAGCATAGATCATTGAATCTGATTAGACCGTTAGCATCTCGCGCAAAAATGACCAAAGAGTTTCAATATTTTTCCTATTTAAAACTTGACTCTTCTGTAGTTACATCGTGTACTAAGACCGACGGAAAATGAAAAATTACGATTTTCTAGGCCGATATGGCTAGGAACTATACTCTCACTCCGGCGTAATAATCAAGGAACTTTGCTGCTGTACTATGGGTGCAGCAGGCGCAATGATATTATGCAGCGCCTGAAAATAGTCCCCAGCACGCTCCCTGTGCAAGCAGGTGGTCACATTGGTTATTCTGACGGAAGTTAGCCTATTTTCAAGCACTGCGTAATATCATTGCGCCTGCTGCACCCATAGTACGGCAGCAAAGTTCCTTGATTATTACGTCGGAATGAGAGTATATCGACCTAGAAAATCGCAACTTTTAATTTTCCGTCGGTTAAAGCAGTAGATTTAATAGCTTTCAGTCTGAAGGTTTTAATTTTTTTTTCATAAGTTAGATATTAAAGATGTTGAAATTTAACAGGCAAATAATCAAAATGGACATATTAAAATTACAACTAACAAAATAAATAAATAATTACTACATTTAAAATGCATCCTAAAAACTCATTAAAATAGGAAATTTTACATACTTTGATATCATTTCTGAATAGATAACTATACTGGACACATTATCATTGTTTGAAGGATTTGAACGCACACATATACAAACAAAATTAAGAGAAAAGGCAAGGTTGGACGGTCAGAGTTTTGGCTATGCATCAAATCACTTCAAGGGCTCAAGGAATGAGAGAATAAGAAAAGAATATGGACCACATTTCCACTCCTGTCTCATCTATTTTTTTCCCTTCTTTCAAACACATGCATTTACAGACAGGCAGACACATATCTGCCATTCAAAAGAGCAGTATAAACATGATATATGAGAAAAGATCAGACGAGTGGCCAAATGTCTTCAGTAAATGGAAAAATAAATCCAGATGCTCGAATAAACCCTATGGGTGGACTACAATGACCTAGAGGATGAAGAAGCTTTAAAATTCTGATACATACAGTACACATACACACATTAATTATGTGCTATTTAGAACCGGATGTGCATCTGTTGAAAGAATGATTTGGCGACGTTAAGCATGCCCAGAAAGAAATGACTGGCACATGTTTGAAAAAAACAGCTCAGTCTTAGACACACTCTCCTTTTATTTTCTGCAGCTCTTTGTCACTTTGTGCAAATGAGAACAGATGTGTTGCTTATCTGGCAGATGCTAAAAACACTTACATGAATTTTCCTCTTGGTTAAATGAGTCTGAGTTGACAGCAGCCTGATGTGACACTGATGAAAGGTGAAGTCTCCTCTAGCTCAATTTTTCTGCTGTTATTACAGTGGGTATAGAAAAGAATCACCCATCTTTAAAATAATCACATTTTGTTGCTTTGCAGCCTGAAATGAAGATGGACACAGTTTTTGTTTTATCCAGCTGTATTTACTCAGTGCAACTTATAACATCCAAGTGAAAAATATAACACCAACATGTCAGAGAAAAAAAAACAGAATCACTGAGTTGGAAAAAGGATCACCCCCCTCCTAAAAATGAATTGTAAACTCAGGTGTAAGTTAATCACCTTCTCAATGGCACACAAAATCATTTGACTTTCAACTGTGATCAGCTGTGGTCATTTTCATCAGCTCAGCATGAAAAGTGCTTTCCTGGAGCATTTCAGTCCTTGGTAGTACAACTGAAGCAAACAATCAACTATGGGTGGCAAGGCACCGACAAAAGATCTTTGGGATAAAGTGCTGGACAGGCATAAGTCAAGAGATGGATACAACAAAATGTCAAAGGTTTTATCAATGCCAAGCACAGTGAAGTCTATTATTAAAGGTGCAGTAGGAGATCTTGGAAAATGCTAACTTTAGCCTGATAGCACTGAAAGCGAACGTCCCACACTCCCTGCAATCGCCGTCCAAAGCCACGCCCCCTGAACGCACATACGCTCACAGATCAGAATACCAGCGATAACATTACTACAATAGGCTACATCAGCAGTTCCCAATTCCGTGAATGAATGTTCCGAAGTGAAGTAAACTTCAACGGATTTCCCCTGTTCAGGGAGTAGGGAGCAATGAACACTTTGTAGGGATCATATCGATCGGAGCACAGTTCATATATGTAGCTCACTTATAACGAGCTGGTTATCTGAATCGGGTGTGTTAAGAGACATGCAAAATATGCAGAG